ATCTAATGTGGAAAAATCTGAGCTCTGGGTGTACAAGCGACAGGGGGATGAAGGCATGGATGCAGGAGACGGACTCCCAGCAGAGTCTGACCACAAAAAGAAGGTGGCAGCATTTATAATTTAAGCCAGAGACCCCCAATTACATATTTATGAGTGTTGACTGGCCTACAATATTGCGTATAGTACCATATTAATGCACTGACATTCTTTATGGTGCTTACATTGCATCATTGCCTTTTTTATTTACGTTTTTGTGTTGGTTTTACAATTTAGCTGAATTTTTAACAAAAAGCTTTGTTGGCCCCATATATCAAAGCAAAAAAAAATGAAAGGGGTAATTTTTACCTTTTTTCTTGTAATTGAAACCTTATAGCTCACTTTTTCTATTATTTCAGTTACCTTTTTTCTGGGGCAGTCTTTTGTACATAATAGCCATTATTATTTTAATTAAATACAACATTAACAGTTGCTTTATTTAGCCTTTGTCTGCTCTTTATGTAGAGGGACTCTGGTTCGGGTAAAAAAAAGACAGATGGAAGTGGCAGTGACAATTACAGAGATGTGAAGGAGGTAAAGTGTCATTCACACAGTTCACACATGACCATTCAGCATTATAAGGTAGGGTCTTATGTCTAAAGTAGTTAATGCATCTAAGCACTATAAAAGAAGCTAATTATGTAGCCACTTTAACTAAAGAAGATCTAATTAACCAGTCCTGAAGTGTACATCTGGAGGAGAAATAGCATGAGCACCACATGTAAAAGACTGATCTGCTTTAATAAACAGTGTCCATTCACTTCATTTACTCCTCTTCAGCTCATCATCTGTCTGTCTTTCTATCTCTAGATTCTGCTGCGTCTCAGCAAACTTTGTGTACAGGAAGGACCATCAGGGAAGAAGAGTAAGAAACAGCAGCAGAGGTTGTTGAGGAACATGGGAGCTCATTCAGTGGTGCTTGAGCTGCTGCAGATCCCTTATGAGAAGGTGCAGTATATTGAGTGATCAGTAGTGTAGAGGTCTTCTCGACCCCAATCACTTCTTACCCGAACTCGACTGCATTTTGCTGATGGATCTCATATCTATTAGATGGATTTCTGTGTACGAGGTTACAGACGTTTGTTCCGGTCTTATCAGCTCCATTTGGAAAAAGCACATTTATTTTAAATTACCCAAGACCCAAGGTCACTAATACCGTACCTGACCCATGTCCGAGGCACACAAGTTATTACTTTTCTTTAAAATGATTTACTGTTTTATTAAAATATGAACAGGTGTAAATGTTCTCCATCTCCAAAAAAAAATGTGTGTTAATGCTCAGTGATGTACATTTTGACAGGGTGAGGATGTTCGAATGCAAGAGATTATGAAACTGGCTCACGAGTTTCTTCAGAACTTCTGTGCAGGCAACCAGCAGAACCAGGCTCTGCTCCACAAACACATCAACCTGTTCCTCAACCCTGGGGTGAGCTCTCCATCTC